CCTTCAAGCAGTTACGACATGGTTAGAATTTTGGAAAACAAATGAACGTACGAAGCCAGGAAAAAAAATGTTAATTTCTCTTTCTTCAGCTTCTCCTCATACTCGTCATCATCGGCAGCATAATCATCCTATAGCCATATAAAAAAATTTAAGAAAATGACATGATGCCATTATAAAAAGTAAATCTCAAAATGTTAATAATAAACAGAAAGAACTCACCAAGTCAATTACTTTGAATTTAGCCTGCTGATATCTAGCTTTAGCTTCCTCAGCAAATGCCTGCACAACAAGACATTCAATAGATTATATACAAATACACCATCATTACAAACAAAAGAAAAAAGAATATGGCAAACAAAAATGAACAAACAGACAAACCAGACAAAGGAAAATACAGTAGAATCACTAATATATTTTTGTCACTATCATTTGCTTTTCAGGCCCTTCAAGCTTGTGTCCAATTGCCGAATTATTTTTCAGGTAACTTAAAATGTTAGATTCAACATCCACCCTTTTCTATTTGTCTTTGTTCTTTTCATTTTTTCCCTACCTTAGCAAAGCCTTCTGCGGTACCAGTCTGCGTCCCAAAAAAGATAGAAACTTTCTGCTTGCCATCATCAACTTCCTCAGGCTCCGCAGCCTTGGTCACCGTCAGCCTCGGCGGCTCCACCAGCTCCTTTCGAGCCGATCCTAACGCCCGCCGCCACACCAGCACCACCGCGCAGCCTATGAGCACCGCAACGGATGTAGTGAGCACCATCACGAGGTCCCTGTTCTCCAACAGCATCACCACCGCCGATGACGGCGCCGCCTCTACTGAGCTATCGAGTTTCCCGCCCTTCAAGATCGCCGCCAGCACGTCCAACGCCGAGAGCTTCTCCGATGACGGTTCCATTACTTTTTCAGTTCTCCACTGATTTCCGGCTAGATTTTCAAATAGCCGGAAAATCGAGAACTCCTAGCGCTCGAAAACTGAAATTCAACTGGAGGTCGAACAATGAGAGTGGTGAATCTGACGGTGATCCAGAGAGACTCTCCTCTCTGAAACTTGGTGTTTGAGTTGAGTTTGGTTGATCTCGTTGAGGAAGTCGTACGCGTACAGAAGACTGACTTTTGTAGACGAAAATGGAGTTTACATGGTGAGAAGAGCGAGAAAGTAAAGAGGGGTGGTAAGATAAACATTTAAACAAACACCTACCAAGCTAGTCTGGTTAATCCCACCTAACACTTTGTTAACCTTGGTTTGATTGAGCCCAACTTTTGTTAATTTTAATGGGCCAAGTTTAAACACTTTGTTCATAAGGAAATTCACGTGGAAAAGATTTATAAAACTTTTGTTCATAAGGAAATTCACATGAAAAGATTTATTAAAACTTTTCTACTGACAAAGGGAGGTGCGGGCCTCTGTGTATTCCTCCGTACCTCCGGTGAGGACACATTTGGAAATGAGACCCGATTTGGTGTCGGTGGATTTCGTTAGTCAACCTCATCTTGGAGAAGGGAGTTTCGTCGTGTGCTTCTTCGGTGTGGCCTAGCTTTCTTGGGTATATTTTCAGGCGTCTGGGCTGAGTAGGTGATTAGGATCCTTTTGCTGACTATTGAGGAGGCCATTGTTGTAGCTTTTATATGCGTTTTGATTGTAGTAGTATGTGTGTGTTGTGATTGTATGTTTTTTTGGTGAGTTGTTGTTTTGTTTTCTTCTCCTTTGGAGTGTGTTTTATTCTCTTTTGGAAGCGCGTATTCTCCATTTGTGAAAACTTTGTATTCTGTACTTGTAGAAGTTTTTTTTCTTTTATGTTTGGTTTCTGTAGTGTGTGTTGTAGTTTCTAGGCTATTGTTAGAATATACACTTGTGAGTTGTCTCACATCGTCTGTACAGGGAAAATAGGCCTAATTTATAAGCCTAGTGGGCTACTTCTTCTACCACCAATTGATTTTGGGAAAGAACCTTACTTGGTCTTCATATGAGCTTCCCTGATTTGGTGCGCTTCGTCCGTGGGACCTCACCCGTCAACCCCCGCTTGTCATGGTATCAGAGCCGTTTCACCCAGCTCAGTTGGGCTTGGGCCTACATGGGACCGTGCAATGACGTACCTGTCACCTAGCCCAGTTGGCTTCGGCTTCCAAAGGACTCACAAGTGAGGGGGATGTTACAATATACACTTGTGAGTTGTCTCACATCGTCTGTACAGGGAATATAGGCCTAACTTATAAGCCTAGTGGGTTACTCCTACTGCCACCAATTGATTTTGGGATGGAACCTCACTTGGGCTTCATATGAGCTTCCCTGATTTGGTGCGCTTCGTCCGTGGGACCGCACCTGTCAACCCCCGTTTGTCAGCTACCTGTAGTAGTCCTCATATTCCGACTTGTTAGACGGTTGTAATTATGTGTTTGTTTTAGTTAATGAATCTGTCGTTTCGAAAAATAAAAAATAGAAAAATATATAAAACTAAGGAGAAAATGATCATATGACTGTTGACAAAAGAACCAAAAGAATATCTGTTTGTATGCTAAATTTAAAGTGAAACATAATATGACGATTATGGGAGAGCACGGGTCGGTTCAGTTGGAGATCCAGAAATCTACAAAATCGAACCGAACTTCGAAGATCCCAAAAATTGGATCTTCGGAGCTGAATTGGTTCCAATAAATCTGTTCTGAGACGAACTAAATTTCAGTTTGATTCAGTTTGAAGATTCGAGTCTAATGGATTGGTTCGATAAGGATCGGAGATTTCAGCGATTTTTATTCTTTTTTATATTAAAAATTGAAAAAAAATCTCCTAAATACATGCTAGATAGTACATATCATGGATGCAAGAAAATCACAAATCTCTCTTAATTTCAAAAGATATTTCGTCAATTAATAATAAGTATAGGTGGTTAAAATCATTTTTAATTCATAAAAAGAGGGACAAATATCTTTCAGCTGTTAAATATCATTCGTTCAAAATATAATTTAATTTGAAAGATTTCTATGCTAATTGTTTATATGCCAAAAAATTTGCAAGTGATAAGGCGTACCCATGAATAATAATCAATTTAAAGATAGTTACTTGTTAAATATACGCGCATAGTACATATAAAGTTTGTTTCCGAAAAAATGAGAATATTAATCTTACTAAGTTATAACTTATTAATTTATTAATGAAACAATCAGTATATCCGTTCCTAATCCAATACTATGGTAAAAGTATCTATCAATTTATTTTATTTGAAAGTATATCACCTTTAAATAATTAATTCTCTCCAAATTTTGTGAAAGACTTACTTCATAAAGGCTGATTTCCAAACATTTGATATTTAAATTTGATTAAGTTATAATTAATAGTTTTCTAGGTAAAATACTTGACATGTTGGCTACCAAATTTTGTGATAGGAAGAGTATATTAATTTGAACGGACCTGTGAGGATATATTTATATTATACTGACCAAGTAAATAAATCAGACCTTGGTAATTACTGAGTACTGTAAATAAACTAGACCTTGGTAATTACTGCGTACTCTTAAACCGTAAGATAATAACGAGTAAATGCACTAAGTAGATGTTTCTTTGATTCACTAAAAAGTGCGATTAATTCTGTTGAATCAACAGTCAGAGGGTGAGTTGGGAAATAGTGTTGTTTGTATGGTGTGTCGTTCCATTATTTACGGTCAACGTGTGCTAGTGCGCCAGTTTGGTGATTCCCCAAAATGAGTTCAAGAAAATTATTATGTCAAGCCTGCACGCGGACTTGATTCTAGCATAATAATAAAAAATCGAGTGGTACTAATTTCATATCAAGAAGTCAATTAATTACATTGTCAGATCCTATTTATTGATGCAAAAAAATTAAACTATTTATAATTACTTAGTATTTATTGACAGTGAAAAAATCCTTTAGAATAACTATTTCCTTCTTACACATATCGTTGATGTAAATGCAAACAAGAAAAGTTATAATCCGCCACATATATTTTGTTTTATTCTGAATTGGCCCGGTCAATTTATTGGTGGAGTTGAAGGTGAAACTAGTGTGTGGCCCGTGCGAGGCACGAAAAAATAATATTACGATTGTATTATAAATTAAATATATAAATAACATTAATCATGTTTTATCTGTTGTTTTTAAATTAAACCGGGTTGGACACAGTCCGACTGGATGGACCGAGAACTGATTTATAACCAGTCTAGTTCCCTTGAATAAAATATTTGCTCTTGCATCTGTCAACACCTGTCGGTTGGACTGGTAGGATCGATATGATTTTCTAAATAAATTTTGTTATATTTAAAATTATTTTAAATAAAATTACATATTTAAATAAAATAGAGATTTATAAATTATTTATCAATTAGTTTAAACATTTAAATTTATAAATTATTTAGATATCTAAGTAACACAATTTCTTTAAATTTATTACAAAAAGTACTATATATTTATAAATTAAAATCTGAACAAACCACAAATGATTTAATAAAATAGTTTGATCGTTTCGATGATGGTCCAGTTATAAAAACTTTAGATTTACTGTACATTAATGAATATAATAATAAAATATTATTTAATTCACATAAATATTAATAAAAAGATATATAAATATTCATAAATCATTAAAGATGTTGTCATAAAAGCATTGTTAATACAATTATTTGAAGCTTGGACTACATCACATTCACGTAATAAAATATTTTCAATATAAAATTTATATTTAGGTTCAATCATCGATTTGGTGTGGTCGAACTGATACATAACTTAGTCACTTGAGACCAACCAAGTTGTGTCAAGTTTTTTTGCCTATTTTAAATATCACCTAAAAGTAATTCAATCAACCTAGGCAATATCCTAATTCAATCACCTGATTGATCCGAAAATTTTTTCTTAGTTTCTTTAAATATATTCAATTTTATGAAATAAAAATATTTTATGATTCATATAATAAATGTCTACACCAAATGTAGTATATTAAGATTATAAATTATATATTTAAAGATGAATTAATTAGTTTTACTTTATGCATATTAATAAAAAATAAACATAGTAATTTTGAAAAATTAGTATTAATTGATTGATTATGCAATTTAAAGAATATTTTTAGCATTCAATACTTTTTAAAGGCACAAATATAAAGACCGAGATTCTAAAACTTTTGTTATATTTTGAATTGAGATTTTATAAATATAGAGACCGAAATTTTAATGTTGTTCGTTGTTTTTAAGAAAAAAAAATAAAAATAAAAACATACACATTTAATAAATCTTAGTCGAATTTTTTAAATAATAAAATGAACTAAAGCCCAAAATTTAAGGTAACATTTAATGTTGTATGATTTATAAGAAAAAAAAATAAGAAAATAATAAAACTTATTATTTATAGTCTACATTAAATCCTGTCATCCTGACCTATTTTTGTGCTACTATTTTTAGTAAATAGTAATTCTTATTATACATAGATCGGTAGAAATTATTATTACTATCAGCCTGCCTTCATGCGACTTTATACGGTTTTCTTGCTCTTTATTAGTGAATTTTTGTTTTTATTTTTTTATTTTTTTTCTGGTATCTCTCTCACACACACTGACACACCCTTGATCCTCTCTCTCTCCACACACACTAAACACACGGGATATATTTTTGTAGTGCTTTTTATTTCGGAGTATTATATAGAAACGGTGCTTATCAATGTGCTGAAAAAGCCCACTTGAAGGACCCATCTCCTCATTCATCCTTTTCGCTACCTCTATTCTATCTCTCTCTCTCTCTCTCTCTCTCTCTCTCTCTCTCTCTCTCTCTCTCTCGCAACAGCCAACGGCAACAGCAGACGATAACGAGTATTATTATTATATGGGCAATGACCTATCTACACATTAATATATTTATTTATTGCTCACTCATACATATACGCTAACCACAATCACTCGCTGTCTTTCGGGTTTCAGAAAGTAATGGCCTTTTAGTGGTAATGTAGGCATCGGTTTTTTGTTCTTCAGAACAAAAAGCAGCGGCCATGGATGCTCCTGCGTTGGAGGGTAAGATTCTTTCTCTTTTCTGTATTCTTACTTTTGTTTTTTAATGCTTTTTGCTGAATATTTGTGGGATATTGTTATGTCGCTGTTTGTCGATACTTTTTATGCATATTTACCTTCTTTTTCTCCTGTTATTATTTTCCCTTTACACAAACGAATTTTGCGTTGATAGTAGGTAGTTGGGTTCATGGTTGATCTGTGATTTCACGCGTGAACCATTCTCAATCGAGTTGATAATTTCCTTTTTCTTCTTCTTTTTTTTTTTCTTTTTCTTTTTTTCCTGGTAAATAGACACGCAGGCAGACAGTACATTATTGCTCTGTTTTAGTATTTATGAGATTTATCTACTCTGAATAAATCTCAAAGATGCTTGTTAAGGGAAAAAAAATGAGGTGGCATTGATATGAATGAATTGCTAGCTGTCATTTTGTGTTCTCTCCATAATGTGTGCACGAAGGTTTACCTAAGATTGCTGGATATATATCTTTATTTGCTTCTACAAAGTTGAAGTTTTTCTGTCTATTATACTGCCTTGAGTATTCAAAATTATCTGTTCTCTTGGTAGGCATAATGCAAGTAAAATTAAAAGTTCTTGTTTTCTATCGTGAATAACTTTTGGTAGCATCTGGATGGCATATACATGGTATTTGGTCTTTATCTTTTCATAGATAAACCCATTGTCCTCAATCAATCTTAAAGTTAAAATAAATAACTAATCTTTCTTTGGTCTTTCCTTAAATGTTGGGAGTTTAACTTATGCATTAACATGATAAGTGGATTGGCTCCATCTTTCACATGCACAAGCTGGCTCACTCCAAGGTTTTTATATCAACTTGTTTTTCATGTATTTAACGGGAAATATACCAATAAGGTCTTTCTATGGAACTCAAGGGAAGAAGTATTAACAAGTGTATTCTATTTATGGTTGCAACAGAAATGAGATGAATAAACTTTGAACTTTGATCACAGTGTTTTCTGATGTAGCTATTGTGATTTGTTCACTGTTTGCTGTATTACCACTTGTTTTTAATATGCTTTTGTCTTCTCCTTGTTCTATGCTATGGACAGATCTTTTTGTGTTCTCATTTAAATTATGAGATTGAAATCACATGCATCTAAGGACTAAAATCTTGTTGGCTCCAGTCAATGATAGCTGATTGATCTAATTATAGTAAGCAATGGACATGATATTCGAGAAAGAACAAAGATTGCTTCTTTCAAATCTTATTTCTGCTGTTCCATTTCTTTCCCTTTCCAAGTTAGCATGTTTTT